AAAAAATGGTACTTTGTTATTTCATAGTGTACTATATAGTTAAACTCGGACTACATTATTATAACTATGAAAACATTACACACTGAGTACTGCTCTAATCAAAATCAAAATAAACCACATGGTGGAGAAGGAGGAGGGGGAGGAAATATGAGTGTATGTGTGTGGGAGGACTGGGAGAGCTGAAGGAGAACAAAGCATTAATCCTCCGTGGTAGAATGTCACTAGATAACACCTAACACTGACATTGTAGGACGAAATAAGCTTGAAATAATGTGTTTAAACCCAAAGAGATGAGCTGAAGTGGTTGAACACAGTCATCTCCAGGGAGAGAGAAATATGGGGGAAGGGGAAACAACTCTAATTCAGAACAAGTCCCTTAGAACTCTTTGACTTTTTAAATTATAAGCATGAACAACAATGATTTTTTTTAAAAAAAAACAACACCAAATATAAAGCGAATTTTAAAATGGAAACATCTGTAGAAAGATGCTCTCTATCCATATAGTCTTCTTAAAATGTATCTAGGAAGCCTGAATAATATTTTTCATAGCCTGTCAAATAATTTTGCAAAATAAAATTAATAACATAAAAAGAACCATTAAAAAACAATTATGAAATACCCTCTCCCCAAAGGGATTACTCATATAATCAAGATCCCGTAGCTGGTAATTGGTACAGAATGACTAATAACTGGATTGCCAATCCTTCCTTTGTGTGCGGTCCACTCCCCCTCGCTAAGTCATTACTCACTTTTGGAGAAGTGGTTAGTGAATGATGTTATAATGTATCTAGGGAGTGACCAACAGGTTAAAAATATATTCATTGATGATTCTGGTAAGGAAACCACCCTCAGAGCTTAGGATAAAAACAGCCAGCCAGTGAAAACATGAGCTTCTGTGACAGGCTTCGTACTTCAGCCTCCTCCTAACCAGTCTTTCATGGTGACATGACCCTTATAACACCTACTCCTCATGAGCAATAAAAGTCCTGTTTCTCACTCTGCAGTCACCGTTAGGGACGAGGTCCGCTAGCAAAGCTTTAGGGAGATAGTCACCGTCTTCTCTGGCTTTTCCTTGTGGTTTACAGTACGTAGAGAGCTGCTTGGCCTGTGTGGCTCAGTGGTTGAGCGTTGACCTATGAACCAGGAGGTCCCGGGTTTGATTCCCATTCAGGGCACATGCCCGGTTGCGGGCTCGATCCCCAGTGTGGGACATGCAGGAAGCAGCCGATCAATGATTCTCTCTCATCACTGATGTCTCCCTTTCTCTCTCTCCCTCTCTCTTTCTCTCTGAAGTCAATAGGAATATTTAAAAAAATAAATAAAGTACGCAGAGAGCCAATGACTGGCTTGCCATACCTGCTTCCCTGAGCTAAGGCAGGCAGACCTGGGTTGCGTCCTCTATACCTTACCACTTTCCCCCAACCCCAACTTTGAGAGTTACAACGCCTGCAAACTGCTCAGTGTTTGCTTCAGAATAACCAACACAGGTCTGCTCTTGGGAAATCATTACTGCATTCTGAACTATTTCACATATAAGTGACCTCATGGACAACACTGGGTGTAATGGACTCAGTCCCAAAGCAGAGAGAAGGAAAGCGATTCCTCCTTCTTCAGTCTGTTTCGCCAAAGCGATGTTTACCTGCGAGGCAGGATAGGGGTTCATGGGGCTGGTGGAAGAGAGCTGTCTGCCGAAACCCTGATGAGCTTCGGGGCCCGGAGAGAGCGTGAGAGGGCTGACGGGGGGCTGCCGGCGCCGAGAGGGGCCGCTCAGGTTTGTGGTGGGGAGAGAGGGGTTGCTGAGGGAAAAGAGGCGCAGTGAAGGGTGAAGGGCAGAGGCGCTGGGCGAGGTCTGCGGGTGGCTGTTCAGGGAAGAGGAAAGCGCTGTCTTGCTGAGTGTGGCCTGGAGGGAGGGGTTACTCCGGGAGCTCTGGAGACCTAGGAGAGAACAGATTCCAAGTTACTTGTCATAATTTCCGACCAAATCGCTCGTTTTCCAAGATTAAAGAAAACATCGCTTCCTGCGATGTGATGAGGGCTCTGTGTGGAGGAGCTCCTGGGAGACGCCGGCTGAACAGGTATCAGATGTACCAGCGGCACGGAAACCCCCATCAGGGAACGGTTTTCTTGAGAGGAAGGTGGTCGTGTAACGCATGGGGGTGGGGTGGGGGGCCAGGACCAGGTAAGAGTGGGTAGTGGAGGCCAGTGTGCAATGTGCTTAGCTCCAGCCCAGGGAGAGGAGCCAGGGCTGTACCACAAAATCTGTTCATTTTATTTTCTTAATCCTCCCCGAGGATATTTTCCCATTGATTTTTAGAGGAAGTACAAGAGAGAGGGAAAGGCAGAAACACTGATGTGAGAGAGACACATCGATTGGTTGCCTCCTGCATACCCTCAACCAGGGCCGGGGCCTGGAAGGAGCCTGCAACCGAGGTATGTGCCCTTGACCGGACTCAAACCTGGGACCCTTCACTCCACAGGCTGACGTTCTATCCACTGAGCAGCACCGGCCAGGGCCACAAACCCAGCTCAGAGCCCAGCCTGCCTCGGTCCCAGGCACACTGCCGAACCCCCTGCTGCTTCGGGGGGCAGGCTTCCTTGGAGGCGTGACTCTCAGGGAGCCGCCTCCGTGTGGCCGGTCAACATGCTGAGCGCCCAGAGGGCCACGGGAAGAGGCACCCTCCATGTCTCCTGCCCCTCGGTGCCTTTCTCTTTGCTTTCCTGGCTCCCAATAACTGTTCATCGCAGTCCATTCCGATTCAGGGGAAAGGAAGCTTTTGCTGGTGCATAGTGTTACTTTGGAGGGAGGGTGGTAAGTTTTAGCCTGAGCAAGAGCGTTTGGGGAAGGCATCTGCATGACACAGGGAGCTGGGGCACAGGTTGGAGGAGGCCAGGGGCACTGTCCTGTGCCCTGTTGGTTCCTGGGCACCTGGCATGGGGCCTGACAGGGTGGCTTCACTCTGTGAATGAATGCTGCTGCTGAGTGTCTTACTGGCAACACCCATGTTTCACAGCTCAGCCCATCACTCTTGGACCAGCAGGTGAAGTGGTACTGTTTTCTGTTGATAAAGAAATTGAGTGTTAGCCCAGCTGGTGTGGCTCAGTGGTTCAGCGTTGACCTATGAACCAGGAAGTCACAATTGGATTCCAGGTCAGGGCACATGCCCAGGTTGCGGGCTCCATCCCCAGTAGGGGGCATGCAGGAGGCAGCTAATTAATGATAGTCTCTCATCATAGATGTTTCTAACTCTCTCTATCCCTTTCTCTCTGAAATCAATAAAATATATATATATTTTAAATTGAGTGTTAGATAAAAATTATGAAAATGAAGGAAGAAATAAAGCATTTTTAGCTCGCAAATAACTTTTAAAAGGTAGGAAAGACGTCTCTAATAAACCCTAAGTAGTATTCCACAACTCAACTTCCTATGTAAAGGTCGGAGATAAGGCTGGTCAAATAAGAGTTAGAACAGCCCTGGCCAGTGGCTCAGTTGGTTGGAGCGTCATCCTGTACACCAAAGCTTTGATTTCCAGACAAGGCACCTACCTAGGTTGCAGGTTCAATCCCTGTTCGGGGCACATAAAGGAGGCAACCAATTGAGCGATGTCTCTTTCTCTCTTCCTTCCTCTCTCTAAAATAAAACAATAGCAACACAAAGCAAACATATCCTCAGCTAAGATTTTTTTTTAAAAAAAATTAGAATTAGAGCTAAAGATATGATTCAATTTTTTAAAAAACCCATTCATTCAGGAAAGAAAAAAAAGATCAAACATCTTTAAAAAAATATGTGCGACCTTGTGTCCCATTTATTTAGGTTCCATGCACAGGAACTAGAAAAAGCTGACCCTGGTTCTGGACGCTCTGGACAAAGTAATGCTTGTTTGAGGAAAATAACAGCAAGTGATTAAGCTCAGGATTTGCAACTGAAGCCCCATGTTGGAGGCGATACCAAAACCCAGGAGCGCTAAATGCCGACGTGACATGACCTATGTAGCCGTGAATGTCTTTTTTCATAGAGAACAACCAGTCACATAAGAAAACAGCAGGATAAAAAAATGACCTAAAGAACCAAGAATAAAGGTGCTCGCTGAAATCCCTTCTTCAAACCTCAAGTCATGTTGCGCCCCAGTAGCATGACTGCAAATCATCAGAGCCTGCCAGGGACCGCCCAGAGAGGGCCACTCTCCTGTGAGTGGTGAGCTGATCCATGTAGACGCGTCCTGTTGAACCCAGAGTGGAAACCAGCAAGCACTTTCCCACAGACGGACCCTCATCAAGGACCCTTCCAAAGGTCCACACAATCTTTAGGACGGTTACTGCCTGGGCCGTACCGCACACCGAGTGTGAGAGGGAGTAGTAACACCTGCCCACACACTGACAGAGTGCATGTCAGGGCTCCAGCAAATGTAGGCCCCTGGGTCTGAGCTGTGGACACTTACATTCACACTAGAGGCCCAGTGCACGAAATTTGTGCAAGAGTAAGCCTTCCTTCCCCCAGCTGCCGGCACCGGCTTCCCTCTGGCACCCGGGACCTGGGCTTCCCTCTGGCACCCGGGACCCAGGCTTCCCTTGCAGCCCCAGTTTTATCAAGAAGGTCGTCCTGAAGGACGTCTGGTCTAATTAGCATATTACGCTTTTATTATTATAGAACAGAGGTCCTCAAACTACGGCCCGCGGGCCACATGCAAATACAAATATTGTATTTGTTCCCGTTTTGTTTTTTGTACTTCAAAATAAGGTATGTGCAGTGTGCATAGGAATTTGTTCATAGTTTTTTTTTAAACTATAGTCCAGCCCTCCAACCGTCTGAGGGACAGTGAACTGGCCCCGTTTAAAAAGTTTGAGGACCCCTGTTATAGAAGATAGAAACACCCAAGTCACATTACGGGTAGCATTTTAATACGGCCACATGCCACCTGTTTTAGCCCTTCTGAAAATTTGAGCCAATTATTTTGAACTGTAGATTTCTATTAAATATATGCATCTATTTAAGTATAAATATTGTCATGGTATTCACTCTAAATTTTCTAAAATTCAAAACATTCTCTTTTGAAATCCAATGGGGAATTGGAGGGATCTAGAGATGGCAGTAATGATTACATATCATCACGTGATATTTACTAAGAGCCACTAACACTGCTCGGCCGGCACAGACTAGAACTGACACTTTTTTCTTGACTCTCAAGTCTTATTCTCCAAGTCCCCGGGATACAGGGGCTGCTGAAGACGCTAAAGGTGGCTGAGCAGAGCTGTTCCAGGTATATAGTACCCAGCAAACACTGGGCCACCAGAGCAACATGTTAGCAGGACCAGGACCTACAAGAACAGGATGTGGTCACTCACACTCCACTAACAGGCCACCTGGCTGGGCCCCACCTGTGAGGAAGCCACCAGCGGGCACGGGCAGGGACCCACAGAGCAGGGGGCACTTACCAGAAGAGCTTCTGATGCCCAGGTGAGTCATAGCAGCAGGAAGGTTGCCCACACTGTTCCCCATACTCATGCCACCAAAGAGGGGGTTGCCGGTGTCCAGGGAGGCCGGCAGGGGCGCCGAGTAGTGCAGGTTGGTTAAGTCTGGCAGGGACCCTCCGGTGTTCAGGGTCCCCAGAAACGGGGAGAGCCCCATGTTTGGACTGTTGTGTGGAAAAACGCTGAAAAGGGAGAGATAAGTGTTACTTTCTAAAATCGTTAGGCTTTGGGGACTAGGACAGGTCTGATACGTTCCCTCATCAAATAAAAGCGGCCAAAGATCCAAGTCCTCGTGTAAGCTCTGCCTCCGCCTCGTCCTGAGAACTGGCCTCCTTGGCTCACCCCCTCTGCAAGGCCCCTCCTTACCTGCTGGGTTGGACGGAGGATGCACCTATACCCACTTTATAGGAGTATTTTCCAAGACCGGATGAAATAATTGATGTAAAAGCACTTTAGAAATTATAAAGCACCTTATAGAGGCACTGCTGTGCAATTTACACGGTTCTGTTTGCTAGGTTTCTAAATTCTCTTTCCTACACTCTCTCTCTCTCTCTCTCTATCAACCAGGTACCTTCCAGGATATAGGTTTTCAATTACAGTGTGGAGGATGGCTTAAGGGAGCAGAAAGACAGCAGGGAGGCCCAGTAGGAAGCTATGGCTGCTCCAGGAAGAGGCAGGAGGGAATGAATTCAATTGAGGACACTCCACTCAATACAGCATGGTCAGTAGAGCATGTCCCCGATACCAGATACTGATAATGGGGCCCCAAGAGACTTGGACAAAGCAGGGAGATAGAGCCCAAAAGAAAATAACTTGCTTAAAATAAATGAATGAATAGATAATTAAATAAATAGAAAAAAACTTGCAATGTCATACAATCCAGTAGTACAGTGACAGAGCCTGGCAGCATAAGGCGTGGGGACAACGACCAGCAGGCTGGAGGGGGCTTCCTGGGGGCATCCGAGCTCAGTTTGAAGGCCAAAGAATTCACATGGTGAATTTATGCAGGAAAAACCATTCCAGGCAAGTTCACAGCGTGGGCAAAGCAGAAAGGCGCAAAGCCACACAGTGGGCCCAGGAACTCAGACACCACAGGAAGGTCAAGTTTAAGAGGGGCGGGTGCTGGCGGGAGACGGCCCTACAGCAGAGAGTACATGAGGCGGAAAGCTACCCGCTGAGGGCAAGAAGCCTGTGGAAGGCAGGAAGCAGGGAGAGACATGCGCAGTCATTCTGAGGACAGTGTGGCTAAGACTCGGGGGCATGGAGGCCGGGGTGCAGGAGGCAGAGCCTGGAGAGGGAGAGGAGAGTTATGACGCGCCGAACAGTCAGAAAGGGTGCCAGGTGCCCACCTCGTGCGGCTGGTGGGTTCCTCGCCACGCCTACACGCTTCTGCTGCAAGTCGTGTGTTTACCAAGAGTCAGTTGTGTTATTCACAAACATATGTATGGCAGTTTTCTTTATTACTGCAGTTATGTAATATAATTACTTTAAATAACTGAAATATTGAGTACCAAAGAGAGCTATTGTTTTCATGAAAATCCCGCTGACTTTCAATGTACACATAACGAGGGAAGTTTCGCAGAGTTCTGTGCCGAAGTAGCAAGACTTAGGGACAGTCCCCGAGCCATGAACAGAAAGGACATTACTTACCTGCCACCTGCAACATCACAGGATCGAGGGCGCCCTGACAGCGACTGAATCTAGGGAGAGACAGAAGCTGGGCTTACTCACTGAAAAGCCAAAATCAAGCTCTTAGAAGTGTCTTTATAAGTATCTTGGGGCTCCAGTCAGTGCAAGCGAGAGGCAGTTAGCACCTCACACAGGGGCCCTTTAAGTTCTAACTAGACTTCTCCAGGCACAAGGGAGGCAGAACATAAAAATTTTCTTAATTTGATGATTAACTTATCTTCTAGATGAATAGTATTTCCTTCAGAAAGGCCAATGTTTTATATACAGAGCTTATTATTATTTTCTGGTTTGTTCATCTTCACCAGAGGGTATTTTTCCATTGATTGTTAGGGAGAGCAGAAGAGAGAGAGAGAGACAGAGAGAAACATCGATGAGAGAAACACATCGACTGGTTGCCTCCTGCACGTGCCCCAATCAGGGCCCGAGGTATATGTGCCCTTGACCGGAATTGAACCCAGGACCCTTTGGTCCACGGGGCGACACTCTACCCACTGAGCCAAACTGGCCAGGGCCATATAGAGCTTTTAAATAGACATTCCTTTTCCATTGGCCTGAAAGGAAAAGAATATAAAAAATAAAACTGGGAGAAGAAAGAATAAATTACTGTCCTGAGAAAATATTTCAACTAGAAAATAAATTGGGGGGAGGGGCCAGGGAGTTTTTGGTGTTTGTTTACTGCAGAATCCCTGGACCCAGAAGGCCTGGCAAAAGGTGCTCAATCAATGTACTGTATGGTGAAAACCATGAATGAACCCATTGACGCAAATCTTCTCCCAGAAATGGTTAACGGAGGACAACAAATCCTTAAGAATCAGGGAGAGGAGTGCCTCCTCCCAGAGAGGGGCCGGGCACTCGGGGAGGAGTGGCTGCCCTGCCTTCTCTGCTGGAGGAGACGTAGCTGTCCTCAGGGTAAAGCCTCCAAAATGACTTGAGTCTCCAGAGTGGTGACAACGTGCAGCTGCTTATCCTTTGCTTAAGGGGATGGATTTTATTTTATTTATTTATTTTTGTTCATCCTCACCTGAGGATATATTTTCCCTTGATTTTTAGGGCGAGAAGAGAGAGGGAAAGACAGAGAGAAATACCGATGTGAGAGAAACACATCGATTGGTTGCCTCCTGCATGAGCCCGACCAAGGCCTGGGCCGGGGAGGAGCTTGCAACCGAGGTACATGCCCTTGACTGCAATTGAACCCAGGACCCTTTGGTCCGCAGGCAGATGTTCTATCCACGAAGCCAAACCGGCCAGGGCAAGGAGATGAGTTTTTTTTGTTGTTTTTTTAAAAAAATATTTTATTGATTTTTTACAGAGAGGAAGGGAGAGAGATAGAGAGTTAAAAACATCAATGAGAGAGAAACATCGATCAGCTGCCTCCTGCACACCCCCTACTAGGGATGTGCCTGCAACCAAGGTACATGCCCTTGACCGGAATCGAACCTGGGACCTTTGAGTCCACAGGCTGACACTCTATCGACTGAGCCACACCAGCCAGGGCAAGGAGATGAGCTTTAAATCATCTCTCTCCCTCCCCCCAGTGATGAAACATCAATGCATCTCGCTTTTACAAAAGGCCTGTCAAGCCCACGCCAATGCTGACGAGGACCTTCGTGGGCGTGGCAGGAGAAAATGGAACTGGACGGAGGCAGCCTGGGCAGGCGGGCAGTCGAGTACCAAGGCCAGACGAGCAACTGCATCACTAAGGCTGGGGGTGAACGGCTTTCTTGCAAAGGCAGCACAGCTTCCCGAGGGACCTCCCCCTCCACAGCGGGAGCACGGTGGGGGCAGCTAGCACAGTGGACACAAATACTCCTGGAAATCCTAAAACAGATGACTTGTTTACCGACTCCCTGAGGACTCAGGCCAAATGCCCTTGACTTAAAAAAGGGGTATCTGGTGAAGCAGCAGCTGTGGACAGAAGCCGGTCACTGGTAGAGGGTGTTGGCCACAAAACACCAAAGTCTGCCTATGGCTTGTAACCAGGTTTCAGTGCGTTTAGCGACAGGAATGAGATATGGGGGACTAATAGTTTGGTGTGTTTTTTTAATGAGTCCATTCACATGCAAATTAGGGAGCCAAGAGATCAGTGTACTAACTTACCAACAAAATGTGATCATTCTTACTCGAGCCATCATTCCCTAGTGTGTTCTTCCTAGCTCTGTCCCCAGAGAAATTACCCTCCTTTCCCCATTTCCTCGTTTCCCCGCCGCAGGATGTACAGGGACCGCTGAAGGGCAAACATTCAGTGACCACAAGCACAGTGAGGGCTGCTCACCCACCTCCTTGGCCTCCCACAGCTGCTTTGGCAGTGGCTTGGGGACGTTTAGCAGATTCTCTTCTTTCAATGAGCCAGGGAAAGACATCACTAAAGTGGGGGGAAGCACATTCATTGCGTTAGATGGCAGTCATCGCAACACTGGCCAAAGAAATGATCTTTGAGAGAAAACAATGATTTAGTTCACAAATATTTGTTGTTGTTCTCAGAGAGAGACCGGAAGACAAGGGGAGGGCCAGCCCTCAGGAATTAGGGGACCTGATGCCCGGCTGGGGGTTCAACATCAGAGACACTGGTGACTGCTCGGACTGCACATGCAGTTAGGGTTTGGTGGCCACGTGCGCTCCATTTTGACTGTCATGTCATGAGTGTCTGTTTTAGCCCCACACAGGAGACCCACGGGTAACAAACCCCCAAAAGAAGTCACTTAAAACAGGGACCAGCCCAGTCGGCGTGGCTCAGTGGTTGAGCACTGACCTATGAACCAGGAGGTCACGGTTCGATTCCTGGTCAGGGCACATGTCTGGGTTGTGGGCTGGATCCCCAATAGGGGGCATGCAGGAGGCAGCCAATCAATGATTCTCTCTCATCATTGATGTTTCTCTCTCTCTCTCCTTCTCCCTTCCTCTCTGAAATACATGTATTAAAAAAAAATAGGGACCAAAATTTCAGAGTAAATTCTGAGAAAAAGATTTGAAAAATGAAAGAAAAATTCTACAATAAGTTTATCTTGTTTTTACTAACACTCAGGATCTGATTGCATTGGTGGCCTCTCAGAATGAATTGAGGGTGGGGGCACTGTAACAGAGCCCCATTCGGTGCCTTTACAGTCAACCTCACACCGTCAGGACAGCGCCGTTCCTACTCAGATATCCAGGCTTATCAGGGGTCCCCGGTCTCTCTCTTAATCAGGATACTCAAGCCATTCTCTTCTGAAGAGCTCATTTTGTCCATATCCTTGTTTGATTTTCTTTTCTTCAAATGCTACCTAGTCTAACCCTTAATATGAACGGCTTCGGAAACGTCAAGTCCACAAGGACAGGGCCTTGATTCTATTCAGCAACGTTTCGGCACAGGGAGTGCTGGAAACAGTGCCAGCTCAACCCCGGCTCTGCAGCTGACTCGCAAAATGGGCGGCAGGAATAATAGGTTTGAGAGCCTTTATAAAGCAATACAAGGAGACACTCGAGAATAAACAATCGCTCTCTACGGCACTGATGGATGACAGGAAAAGTTTCAAGGGCTGAGTGAGGCGGCTTCATGCCTCAAGGTTACTGCTCATAGGAGGTTGGTCACAGGAATATGGCTGGGGAGACACGAAGGTCTTAAAGAGGACTGCTTCCTTAGAGAAGTTCACTGATTTGGTCTTCATTTCCAAGATTTGTTGAGAATTCCTCAAAGGATCCACTGGGGTGATGAAAAGAAGCTTGAAGCCAATTATTTATTTGTCCTAGTGGATGGTCACTGATGTTTCAACTTTTCATGAGGTTATTCATGGCCTAAAATGGCTTGCCCGGAAAAGGACTCGCTAGGATGATGGTAGAGAATTGTGCCTCTGGTGCGAGATGCGCCTCATATAGCGTACTCCCGTGAGTCCTTATCTCTGCAATTTATTGTAAACCTAATTTAGTTGTTCACTTTCAGATTGCAAAAATTAAATTTCAGATGATGAAGATTTAGGGAAAAGAAAAAAGCGTCTGGCCCTGAATGAATAAACTAACTGTGTCAGATCCTCACTTATCACTGGCTTTGAGCGACATTTCAGTAAATCTCCACTATCACTGTGACCGGTTTTCTAAATCTCAGTATCTCCTGCAATCTCATTTTGCAATCAATTTGCATTTTCCTCGCACTGCTTATTTACATGTGTCAATCACTGAGTCTCAAAACTTTCTAAATGGGCAGAGACAGGCAGCTGAGGAGGGAGGAATACTGGAATAACTAATGGTGTAAGTGACCAATTCATTAATATTTTCTTTTTCCTTAAAGATTTCTTATTGATTTTTAGAGAGAGAGGAAGGAAGAGGGAGAAACATCGATGTGAGAATGAAACATCAATCAGCTGCCTCCTGCACACCCACTACTGGGAATCCAGCCCGCAACACGGGCATGTGCCCTGATCTGGAATAGAACCGGCAACCTCTAGGTACAGGGGGAGATGCCCAACCAACTGAGCCACACTGGCCAGGGCGACCAAGTCATTAATATTTTCATGTGATGACAACCTCTGCTTCCCTGCACACCCCTGTGATGGGATTATGGGGAATCAGATGACACAAACTCACCATACGCTTGTTTTCTCGTGGCCTTGGTCATGGGTAGCCCTAATTTAATAGAGCATCTCAGACAACTAAACTAATTTGTAGTTGTCAGCATTTTGGGAAGTTCTGAAACATGAGCATCAACTAGTTCACATGTTGAAAGGAGGTCATGTAAACTACTGTCAGCATCCCGCCCAGCCCAGTGGCAAGACCAATCCGTACCTTCCCCATGTCCATTGTTCTCACCATCACAGAAACCTAGGGTGAAAGAAAACAAATATTTTTATGTGGCACTTTCCTTTTCCTTTAATTCATGAATTTGTCATTCTTTCTGATTTGAAATTGAATTTTTAAAATTCTATCCATTTTGGTACACTGATTGAGGTCCAGCTAAGATACATTGGCCTTTGTGCTAAAATTAAGACAGATACGGTTAATTTAAGCCTAAAGTTGGTTCCTATCTACTTTTCTTCTCCTTTGAAATTATCTTACTCTTAAACTGTCCTGAGAGAACAATTTTCATAATCTGAGAACCTCTATTCAGCTTACAAAATAAAGAAATTTGGTTCGAAACCTCTTCCAAATGCATCGCCCACTAGGAAGGGCAGTAATTGCTTCACACTCACCACGCGGGCCCAGTGAACAAATGGGAAGTTCCATGCTGTATGTAGTTATACATATATTTCTTGCAAAGAGTCAAGTTATTTAAAAAAATAATTTATCTGAAGTCTCAGTCAACTTAAATAGGGGATGTGACAGCTATTCACAGAAATTTAAAAATTTGACTTTAAATATTCTAACTGAATACAGTATTTTTTATAACATTTTGGTTCTTTTCTTTTTAAAGAAATATGTTTGTTGTTTTTTTTTTAAAGAAAGAGTGAAAGGGAGAGGGAGAAAAAGATAGAAAGATCGATGAGAGAATGTCGACTGCCTGCCTCCTGCATGCCCACCACTGGTGATCGAGCCCACAACCTAGGCACGTGCCATGACCAGGAACTGAATTGGCGACCTCTTGGTGCATGGGTCAATGCTCAACCAGTGAGCCACACCGGCTGGGCTGAATAAAGTATTTTTAACCCATAAAATACACTGTTAATGACAAGTACAGTATATCCAATAGCTCTGGGCTAAACCCAAAGACTTGTGCCAAGAAGGTAAGATTATTATTCTCTTTAGAGACATCAATTATACCAAGTGAGTTTTCAACATAAAATCAGGAGAAATTTTAAAGTTACAAGCCTTTAAATATAGGCTTACTTACTTAAAGTTTCACTATGTTTTTGGGTAAACTTAATCTGTAAGTTAACTTGATTAGTCTATAAAAACATAAACTAAATATCTAACAATCATTCACTCAACATATATTAAGTTCCTATTAAATGCCAGATGTGGCAGGTGACAGAGTGCAGGGGTGAAGACAGAACAGGGATACAAATTCTACAGTGCAGCGAGAAGATATCCAATTTTAGTGGAGGCTGGGTGCCTGGCCAGCACCATGCATCCCCAGGAGCAGGAAGAGGTCGATTAATTGAGCACATTCATAAAGACAGAATTTTTTTCAGGCTGATGGAAACAGAATCTAAGTCAGTGATTTAAAACTTTATGTTAATGCACATAAAGGCCACTTGGGTAAGCTTTTTAAAAATGCCGATTCATGAGCTCAATCCTCAAAGCTTTCTGCCTCAGAAGGTGTAAGAATGGGCCCAGGAATCTACATTTTAAAATCACCCCAGAGGACCCTCCTCAGACGGTCCTAGCCGATGAGAGACTTGGGCTAGGCCAGTGGTCGGCAAACTGCGGCTCCTGAGCCACATGCGGCTCTTTGGCCCCTTGAGTGTGTCTCTTCCACAAAATACCGACTTCTGCACATGGGCCACGAAGTTTCAATGGCACTGTATGTGCGCGCCCACACGTGGTATTTTGTGGAAGAGCCATACTCAAGGGGCCAAAGAACCGCACGTGGCTCAAAAGCTGTGGTTTGCCGAGCCGCAGTTTGCCGACAACTGCCCTAACCCATCCACTTTCCAGCACAAAGCTTCGCAGGAGGAGGAAAGCGG